CCTCATCTGTAAATGAATATATCTTAGAGATTGCCCAAAAGTAAGCCTGTCTGGGTTTCTATCCATTCCTGTGTTCCCTCATTTGTTACATCTTCCCTTCATGGAACCATGATATGTTATCATCAGTCTTGAATGAATGTGTGTGTGTGTGTGTGTGTGTTTACATGTTTTGATCTGCTCCCAGATAAAGAACCAGCTTTAACATGGTAAACATAAAACCTAAGTCTCTTTGGGTGAGAACTTAGAAATATCCAGAGACATGTAATATGGCTTACACAGGTAATATGTTGCATAAACAATTAATACACTTTAGGATACAGCATTTGTTTTCATATCTCAGTTTCACCAGGAAAATCAAAGCATATCAATGAGTCACAACACCCACAAAGATAAAGTAGCAAATCAGAATTACATTGTACCTTTTCCATTTGAATCAGAAAATAGTCAATAAAGTCTCGAGGGTTATTGATGTCCAGAGATTCCTGATGTTCTTTTACTTTCTCCAAAATAAAACTTCTTTGGAGAGCATAATTTTTAAATATCACATTATGACTTCCTGGGAGAACCCGTAAAAAGGGGAAAGCATTGTAGAGCTGAAAGAAGAAAGAATCCATCATTAATTCATTCACTAAACACTGGTCCTTATTATTTATCAGACACTGGTTATATGCTAAGTAGATAAAGATGAATAGACATGCTTCCTGCACAGGAATGCATTCTGAATTTGAAGGAGAGAGCACTGAAAAAGTAGGCAGAGACAGTATGCACAGGTTACAAAGCAACTTCAAGGCCAATCACATTGATTTCCTAACCTAACTCTCTGAAGGAAGTCAGGAAATTACCCCTGTTTTCACCTCTCTTCAGTTGAGGAAATTGAAGTTCATAAGGTTAATCAACAATTCGAAGACACCAGACTAGTGATCTTGGAGCTAATACCCTGTGTTTGCACCAGTATACACAATATATGTTTTATCAGGGGATAGTCTAAAAATATTGAAGATTCATACTCATTTGTTGTAATGAAGAAATAGTACATCTGAAAGATTAAGAAAGTGCCCAAATCACTGAGCATATACATATATATAAAAAACACAAACACACACACACACATATATATATATATAAATTTTAAATATTCCACCCCATAGAAAGTGCATATTTTCCTCACTCATGTTTTCGCTGGTCCTAGAGCTTACAGAACATGCTTTAATTTAGACAACACCCTAATGACCTAATACCCTTGGAAGGCATCAACATAATATATTCAGGCTTGTAGCTTAAATCAAACTAGATACAGAATCAGGAATCAGGAATTCTAGATTCTAGATTTTGATGTTCATTGTCTTAGCTAGGCTATTTTGAAAAATATGCCTAATAGCTCTGGGTCAGTTTCCCATTCCAGTAAATAAGAGACATTAGACTATTTTTTCTCTAGGGTCCTTTGAAGGTAGGTCACATCAGGAACTTATGATCAGTATAGAATTTTAGTTGTTAGTGATTGTAAAACATAGGTTACTGACATTTTCTGACCGTGTGCTTTAATAAGAAATACATCTTAAATCACTACCCTCTATATCTGGTGATCTAAAAACAAACAAAATTTTCATCCAAACAAATCTTGCTATAAATGTAGCACTCTGAGATTATGTATTTTTTTCTATTCTACATTACTTCATGTTTTCAATTTTATTGCATCACATTAGATTGATTTGATAACTCACTAATGTGTTGCAAATGATAGTTTGATAAGCATTGCTTTGGACATTTTTAAATAGGGCAGAGAGATGGGGTAGGCATGAGCTATAGATGAGCTTGAAAACTATTACACATTCTAAAAAGAACCTTGGCCTTACCTGTATCCAGGGGCTGCTCACAGTTTCAAAGTTTTCATTAAAATACTTCATCAAGGTTAGAAATTTCTGATCCCTGTAATCAAAACGATTCTGGAAAATGATGGAGCTGATGACATTACAGGGAACACAACCCAGAAGAAAAGTGGGATCACAGGGAGATGCTACAAACAATGCCAGTCAGAAGTTAATACACAATTTTTATATAAATCTAAAATTGACTGCTTAAAATAATTGGAAATGATTGACTTCTAAGATCTTCTAGAAATAAAAACTACCTGGACATGCCACCATTACAATAAACTTCAAATGCTTAAAATAAAATTTGCTGTATTTCTCCAAATAAAACTGTCTAATCCAGTCCACTTTATTTGATAATTTTGCCCCAAGGAGTCTCCTATTTATATCATTTTCGAATTCTAAAGAAGGAATTCTAATTCACAAGAAGGAATAAAAAATAAAAAGAGGCCATTTAAAATATTTTTTAATGTATGGAATTTAATTATCAGTGTTGATACATCCTCATGATGCCAACAGAAAACTAAACAACTTAAAAAGAAAATCAAAATACTGAAGAAACTTGAAACAGAACATAGAAAACAGAGTTGAAAATTTTGGTTGTCTTTTTTTGTAAAAGATAAAAATAATGAGAGAAATTGGAATTATAGTTACATATTTGAAAAACTACATTGTGCGTAGAAATATACTTCGTATATGCAATAAAGAGCATGGCTCCATTTTTGGATGTTTGATTGCTAGAAGTTTTATAAGACTCACCCTGAACTCTTCCCCTTCTACTCACATCTGTAAACACTTAAAAAAAAATGTGTAACAGTTCCCTCCGTTAGCACAAATAGACAGTTTAAGCCACACAAGCCCTGACCTGCACACAGGAAACTTCAACCCAGCCCTAAACCCTAATTGCCATGAAAACTTCATGCCAATATCCTCCTGCTGCTCTTTCAGTGTCATTTTGGACCTGGTTGGGTGTCAGCCTGCTCTTCACTGAAAGCAACATTATGTGAGTAATAAACCTTTCATATCCTATTGGTGTTTGTGTGTAATCTTTATTGTAACCATCTAAACCAGATTTTGGATGATTGGTAGGTCCCTCCTGCCTCTGTGTGGTGATAACCACAACACCACAACTCTAGAAGGACAGTGCAAGCTCAGATCAGAAATTAGAAGTTACTATGTAAATTAGCTCTGCTCAACCTGTGGAAATAACTTCCAACTGTTAGTGTTATTAGTGATGAAATAGGCTTCCCCAAGAGTGTGAGGTCCCTACAACGAAGTGGAATCAAGTAGATTTTGGATGACTAAAGGTCAGGGAGTTGAGAGAAGGCAATAGTCACCATGGGAAAAGTTGAATGAGTTAATGACAAGTTCTGCTTCAATACAAATAAAGGATACAAATAATTTCACAGATAATATGTGCCAAAATTCAATATTCATTGCTTGACTAATTCTATTTCCAAATTTTATTCAAAGAAAGTAGTCAGAGATTTACAATAATTAATATGGGTTGTACTTTTGTATATTAAGAGCAGGAAAAACTAGAATCAACCTATCTGGCCAAAACAGAGGATTAGTTAAATAGACTCTGGTGTGTCCAAAATAAAGGACTACTGTACTATCCAGCTAATACTGTTCTTGAAAAACATTTAAAAGTTAAACACACAAAAATATTCATTCAATACATGACATTATAAAACCACATATATCTTATGATCTTACCGCTTGCTTGCGCTGCCTGGACCTTTCTCTTCCACCTCCTCTCCCAGCCCTGCAGGTGCACACACACATCTACGCACTGCAGAGATCTGTGCTGCTGCAGTACCATCTCTTCATATCCACAATCCATTATGAGAGGTGAATGGCAGCCCCACACTTTGGTGGTAATTGGCAACCCCTGTATTGTTCTTAAACACTTTACTAGAAAAGTTACCTAATTTTTTAAGCCTATGTGGCCAAGACTGACAGCTGATTGCCAAAATCCATGTTCTTTTCTTCCTGTGCACAGAGTAAACCACATTTTCCAACTTCTCTGGCAGTTAGGTGTGGCCTTGTTGCTAAGTGGCACACATGAGAGAAGTTATGTGTGCCACTTCTACGCCTGGCCTAAAGTATCTGCTTTTTACCTTGCTCTTTTCTCCTTAACCTGGTACCTAAAAAGACTGTTATTAACCTGGTACCTAAAAAGACTGTTATTCCAAAGCACTTTCACACCCCCTAATTATGTGTTATGTGAGCAAAAAGTAAACTATGATACCTTCTTCAGCCATCATCATAATATTTTGTAGTCCAATTACAATAACACTTTGTTCTTAACCGGCAAACTATTAGTGTTAAATTTATGAAGAAATAAACACCATTGGTTTTCTTTAATGCTGTACACCAGACACAAGGCCCTCCTCTTTGAATTCGGTCTCAATTGTTTTCTTTCCATCCCCATCATTCTCCAAACCCATGAGAAGAGGAAACGCCCGGATTTTTTGCTTCCCATCCTTTCTCCATTGCTCCCAAACAGATCTATCAAAACACAAAAGAGAAAAACAGAGGAGAGAAAATATTCTCATTGTCCGAATGAATTACGAAGCTGACAGTTCTCATCTCAGGAGATGATATTGACATTTCAGCAGGGAATGTAAAAATATAATGGTCGTCAGCTTCCAGGGATTCCCACTGAACGCGCTTCATACAACCTGCCTTCCTCTTGTGAAACCCAAAACTACTATTTAACTGTCAGGAATTCTTAAATTTTGGCAATAATTGCTAAAAACTATTCGTTAATACCAACCACAGCTTGCAACTAAACCTCAGAATAATTCTGTAAAAT